AATGTAGCATCTACAAATTAATATAAGCTTCTTACTAAACGATGTTTGCGACACTGTACTAGACAATATAATAGGCAAATTTTTAACTTTTTCCTTATTTAATACTGTCCCTTACTTATTTAATCCAACTTACGGATTACTCGAGTAGTAGTAGTACATTAATTTGTAACTCTATTGAAGCTATGTAGCTTGAAACTTGGCAAGATCGAAGAAGGCACCTCTCTTGTTCTTCAGCTGGCTATAATTTCCATGTTCAATCGTCTTCCCATCCATGACAACTGCAATGGAGTCTAAATTCTTGACAGTGTTAAGCCTGTGTGCAACCACAACTGTTGTCCTTCCCACCATGATTCTGTCCAATGCTTCCTGCACAAGTTGTTCTGATTGAACATCAAGTGCACTGGTTGCTTCATCTAGTAATAGAATGTTCGGGTTTCGAATTATTGCTCGAGCAATTGCAATTCGCTGTTTTTGACCTCCAGATAGCTGCACTCCTCTTTCTCCACATTCTGTGTCGTATCCATTTTTTAGTGACCTGATCAAGAACAAGTCGAAAATCAGATTTAGTTCAATGTTGTGTGAGTAAAGTTGTTTCATGCGAATGTGTTAATCAAGTTAAGTTTGTATCTTACGAGATAAATTCATGAGCATTGGCAGCTCTTGCAGCGTCTACTACCTCATTTTCTGAGGCATCAAGCTTTCCGAACATAATATTTTCGCGAACACTGCCTGAGTATATCACTGGTTCTTGGCTAACAAGTGCAGTGTGTTTTCTGTACCAGTTAATATCCAGTAATCTTATGTCCACGTCATCGACTTTCACTGAACCACGATCAACGTCGTAGAATCTCTGAATCAAGGCAATTACTGTTGATTTTCCACATCCACTTTTTCCAACAAGTCCAATGCTTGTGCCTGCTTTTACTTTCAAGCAAAAATCACGTAGAACCAGCGTTTCAGGCCTGCCGGGATATGCAAAATCAACCCTTTTCATCTCTATGCCACCAGTAATTTTTTCCAATTTTGTTCCACCACCGCTATCCCCAGCCTAATCACGATGTAAATTGATCTCAGAAACTAAACAGTCCATGAAAAACAACGATTATATGGAACAAAAGAATATTTAATTTGAAATGCAATAGATGTTACTCATACTTACTGTGTAAGAACCTGGGATTAACGATTGTCTATCGAGGATGGCAAATATAGATGCAATAGCTGCTGATCCTTTGGCTAGATCAGACGTCATACTTCCGGCTTCAGCAATAACTTTTCCGGTGCTCACCAAAATGAAGAAAGTCTTAAACACGTCTCCAGCTGATATCTCTCCATTGTTAACCAATTTTCCTCCATACCAAAAATCCAAAGCCCAACATATGAAAGTTAGACCTTGAGCTGACCCTATACCGATTCCTGCTATCCAAGATTTCTTTCTCGCCTCCTTCCTTGGCTCGTCCTGAGCTTCATTGAATATCTGAAGGACATTTCCCATGCTCCCGAATGAAGTCACTATCCTGTGGTTGTACACAGCCTCAGCAGCAATTTGAGTGCTATGATTCTGTTTCTTGATAAAATTACTTGTCATGGTTGAAATCAGAACTTTTCGTGTATAAAAACAGAGAATTGTGAGTGGCTGGACAGCTATCATGACAAGCGCAAGTTTCCAAGCAATGACTAGCCCCATTATCATTGAAATAATCACGGCTGATGCTGTTTGAATTAAGAGAGAAACTCTATCAGCAACAAGGGACTTGACCATTGATGCTTCGTTGCTCAATCTAGAACAAGAGGCTGCACTCGAGTTATGTTCTTCATCAAACCAAGCTGTTTCAAAGGTCAAGATTTTCTCAAGCATTTTCATTCTGATTCTTCTTGTCAGGCACTCGCCCATGTATGCGAAGTTGTAATGTTGGCAGATATTTACAGTAATGGAGACAAAGCAAAGTACACTGAAAATGAAGACGTATTTTTCAATCCGGGCATGCATTTCTTCATGACTAGGTGAGAAGAAAGCTGAAATCATGCCACCTATTGTTAATGCATAAACAGGTTGTATCGCGCCAAAAGCAATAGCTGATAGGCTTCCAATAAGTCCTTGTTTCCATTCGGGCAAGTTCAAGGAAAGAAGCCTAGAAAACGATGGTGGAGGATAGGAAACAGGTTGTGGATCATTAGTAATTGTCAAGGGTGAAACGGAAACAGCAGGGCTCGATTTCGCTGTGCTTTTTCTTCCTGCACTGCTTCTTGCTGCTGATGATGCTAGAGCTTCTGCATTTTGTTCTTGATCCATAGAACCATATTGCCTTTGAAGCTTTGCCAGTTTCGCGTAATGGCCATTACTTTCGATGAGATCATTGTGTGTACCAGTTTCAACAATGCAGCCACCACTTACAACTGCAATCAGATCTGCATTCTTTATTGTTGACAGTTTATGCGCAATAACCTGATCAAATCCAGCAAAATAACACATATAGAGTCATGAATTAAGCCCTTCAAACTTATAAGTTCAATAAAAATTTTATTTTCAGACTTCATACTAATGTTGTCAAATAGACTAGTGTCAAGAACAGAGGTCTATGTCCTTCGACTAAAATTTGTCACAATTTGAGAACGTAATGTTTGAGGTGCAAATTAAGTAATAGGAAAAAAAAAACAGTACCAGCGTTGTTCTTCCCATGGAGGCTTGATCTAGTGCATTCTGAACAAGTGTTTCTGATTCAGAGTCCAGTGCACTTGTAGCTTCATCAAGGAGAAGAATGACAGGGTTTCTAATGATTGCTCGGGCGATCGCAATCCGTTGCTTTTGTCCACCTGATAGAAGTGCTCCTCGTTCGCCAACCTGTTAAAAACCGTATTTTTTTGTCAAAATACTAGCTCGAAAATATCTCTTAAGATGCAACACATAATCCAGTTGCTAGTCATGAAAAAGGCAGTACATAAATTTGTTCAGTCTCTAACAACTTCAATTTGTGGACGAGCTGAAAACTAAAAAAGTGTCTAATCACTAATGTTCACTTCACTTGCGCAAGAAGCCATTATGAACAGGTTAATAGACAAAGATGTGTCGACTCACCTTAGTCTCGTACCCTTCTGGAAGCTGCCTAATGAAATTATGAGCATTTGCAGCCATTGCTGCTGCAATAACTTCATCCATGGTAGCCTCAAATTTCCCAAACATGATATTTTGTTTCACTGATGTCCCAAACAATGCATGTTCTTGACTTACTAGTCCCATTTGTTGTCTTAACCATTTCAACTGTAATGTCTTTATATCTACACCATCAATGAGCACGGTTCCACTACTTGCATCGTAAAACCGTTGTACCAATGCAATTGCAGTTGATTTTCCACTTCCACTTGCACCAACAAGAGCCACAGTTTTTCCTGCTTCAATCTTAAGATCGAAGTCTTTGAGCACAACAGTTTCAGGTCGAGAAGGATATGTGAATTGGACACGCTCGAATTCAAGTTCTCCTCTGATTTTTTCAAGAACATGTCCTTTTGTCTCTTCTCCATCTATTTCTGGAATCCGTTCTATTCTGTGAAACATTTTTGAGGCTGCAACAGAAGCTTCTGTGAAATATTTCACCTCGGGTAGTGCCACTCCAAGAGATCTGCATTTCTTAACCATTTATTAGTTAGAAAACGAAAATGAATCTTAGCAAGAATGGAAGATATGTAGCATCTTACAAGACTAAAATGGAAATTGCATAAAAACATGCTACATGTATCCTACATATCCATATCACTATTTAACTACACATAAGATAACACTTTGTTAAGCCCATGTTTGGTCCCATTAATAGATTAATACATTTTTCTCTCTTTTATTTTCAAACACACATTTTTCAATAAAATAATATTACTCTTAAATAAAAAACTTTTCTTTCTTTTTTTAACCACATTATTCCAAAAATTACTATTTCAAAATA